TTTCTCATTTTCTAAATTGTAAAGTTATATTAAAGTAATAATAAAATATGTGTAAAATTAAATTTTAAACAACTTTATTTAAAAATTAAAAAGAGGTTATCTTAATAAAAATTTGTGTTATTTGTATTTTTTCAAAACTTCAAATTTGTTCTAAAATTGTCCCATATCTATCCCAACTGTCCTGTGTATAACACTAGGTGCAGGTACAGCAGCTAGTGTGGAATCTAGAGCAGACTACTTAAATAGGCAACCAAAAGTTGCATGTATGGCTAGTTGTACTCTCATTAGTTAAATAATCAAAGAGCTTAAATAGGTAATTTTCTAGTTAGGTTGCAGGTATGGTGGCTAGTGTAGAACCCAGGTGAACTACTTAAATTAGGTACCAAAAGTATACATGTGGCTAGTTGTATCCTTGTGAAATTGATGTAATATCGTAATTATCCAAATAAAGCTACATGCCAGGGACCTAAGTGATCACCTTAATATTAAAAAAAAAAAAATTTGTTTCTAACTCTAATATAAAATAATAAAAAAGTTATTAATAGAGTTAAATAAAAAAAAAGTTTATTAATGATTTGCCAGTTATTTAGTACAACAATTATAGTATAATATAATATAAATTACTTATAAAAATTAAGGTTTTTAAAAAGTAAAATGTACATATTTAAAACTTTTTTTTGTACTAGATTTTGTCAATTAATTAAAAGATGCAAAGCTTATTAAAAATATCTAATATAGTTAAATTATCCAAATCAATTTAGAAAGTACTAAGATATCTTTAAAAAATATATCAACAAATATATAAAATCTCTATATAAACAATACTATATATTGTTTATATGGAATTTTATATAGTTGTTGATATATTTTTTAAAGATATCTCAGCATTTACTAGGCTAATTTGGATAATTTAATCACTTTAGATATGTTTTAATAAGCTTTACAACTTTTAATTAGTTAACAAAGTTGATTAATTTAGTATAAAAAAAAAAGTTTTAATTGTAATAATATTTTGTTATATCTTGGTATAGTATTTTGTTATAATATTTTGGCATATCTTAATATATTTTACTAATATAATAATAGTATTTTTTTAATTTTTGTAAAACTATATAAACTTTGTCTTTTTATCCAAGATAAAATAGTTTTTTATTCTATATACAGTCAGACCTCGTTATAGTCACTCTCAATATAGTCACAACCTTGTTATAATCACACTATTTTTTTTGATCTATCTATTATAAAACATATAAATTTTGACCTTTATATAGTCACGACTTTTTATAATCACCAAAATTTTGTATCCCAACCTGGTGATTATATCGAGGTCTGACTGTAGTTTTTAATTTAGTTTTTTTTTAAGTTCTAACTTAAATTTTATTCTGTTCTCTTGTCTTTTTATTTAATAACCTGATATTTATCTTTGGCTATATATTTATTATATTGTATATACTCTTGATTCTTCACCTATTATATTGTAAAAACTCTTCATTATGTTTTATTGTGTTTTATTGTATTTTACATTGTTTTTATCATATTTTTATCTTGTTTTTGTCATAGTTTTATTGCAAGTATTCTTTTTTATTCTCTTCGTTTTATATCGTATATACTTTTAGTTTTTGTTTAGTTATTATTTTTAAGTTTAGTTTTATTCTTTTATATATATATTTTTTACTCTCTTCACATTAAGTCAAGTAGTATAGTTAACCCACCAAGGTTTCTATATTACAATATTAAAAAAAATGCTTACAGTGTAACAAAATTTTAAATTGTTTTTGTACTTAAATTTTTTACAAAATTCTACTATATAAAAAGCTTGCTTTAATTCTAGCGTTAATTCTAATCTTAGTATTTATTTTGCTAAAACGAAAATATATTGCAGTGCGTTATGCACCAAATACTAATTATCATAAAAAAAAATCACTCTAAAGCTATTAAACAATAAAAAAAACGGGTTAAAATTAAACATTTAACTATTAGCAAAAGCTTATTTAAATTCTTATATAATGAAATAGTTTACATATCATATGCATAAATGTATTTTGTCCGTATTGAATTGCTCGATCAGATTAATATAGTCAACTAGCTTTTTAAGGCGATTCTACATAGGATAGAATAGCCTTTTCGCGAATACGAATTATAATAAAATATACACACGTGATAAAAAATTTTGGCGAGATAAATGAAAAAGAAAAAAAAACTCTCGAAAACGTTTAAGTTTAGACTTTAAACTGCGACGATGTAAGTATAAAATAGGGCAGAAATTTTTGGTTTCGAATCAATTATACGATAATAGCCTAATCGTTTTTTTTTTGAAAAAAAGAAGGATTGTATGTTACAGCAAATTCTCCAATTAAAAGTTTAGATTAAATTACATAATGTTCATAGTGGGACTCAGATAATCTGACGGTAAATCAGGATACGCCATATTAATATCTTCAAGAGAAATAACTAAAGTGGAAAATGAAGAATGAGGAAATAAATAAAAGTTGTCAAAGGCTTGGTCGGAAAAATTATTCAGAATAGGAGCATTAGGTTGTGGATCAATTATATCAGTGGATTTATCCAGAATAAGAGCGTTAGGTTGTGGGTCAAGTATATGAGTGGATAAATCGTCAATACTGTTAAAGTGGATATGATCAACGGAAGATGGAAGAGAATTTAAAGTATTAAGCTCAAAATTATTTCGAATAATTGGGATTGAATTTTGAGAAGTATCAGTAGTATTATTATTAAACTCAAGAATTCTTTCATGTTCGTAAAGTGTTTGATCACGCAATGAAGGTGACTCCTGAACAAGCTCTTTGGGCTTTCTCCCCCTCTTTTTTGTTGGTTGTGTATATTCGCATTTCATATGACCCTTGGTGCATTCGAAGCATGTAACCTCCCCTGAGCAGCGTATTCTACGTCTTCTACAATTCTGGCATGCTGTAGTCACGTATGCTCTTTTTAATCGTTTCGATTTATGTTGATTCATAACGAATTAATAGATATGAATATGACGGATACGAAAGGTTAATCAAAGAATATAGAATATTAATTCTCTACGTTGATGATCAAGTGCTTTATTTTTTTTTGAAATTTATACCGTATTAATTTGTACGTAACATTCATTTAAAAGGCGAAGTTTTGAATCCTTGACAAAATGATGTAGACGCGTCTTGCGTTCTAATTACATGTTATTATAAAAGAACACACTCCATCTATTACCAATATTAAGAATGAAAGACTAATTTTATGTTCTCACGATAATTTTATATATTTGTTCGGACGGAGTATAAACTACCTGATTTTGTCAGATCTAATAACATGTGATATTGTGTTTTTTGTATGCATTTTTTTAAAAATAGGCTAAGACTCCTTGTCACTAAAATGAATTCTTGCAGTGATTGTTTACATCAGAACCAAAGTATTATTATTCTTGCAGTTATTGTTTACATCAGACTCTTCGTTTGCAGACTTAGCTTGTAAGATTACATAACATTATGTAATAAGTATGAAACATTCACTAAGAAAAACCAAATGACATGACGGAGTTTAAACAACTTTGAACAGTTTTTGCTGATAAGTAATAATAGTCTTGCTTGTTTAACAATCCCCAAATATTAAAAAAAAAAGAAAAATTAATAATCAATTTTTTAACACTTATTCTAAGCCTAAAAACTTAATAACAAATTGATTTACCGTCAATTGCTTTTAAATTGCCTTTAATAGAGCGAATGAATGTATATATGCATATCGCGATATAATACGTATGATCTACTAAACAAAGCCGATTTTCAAACAGAAACTTTCTGCATGCTACTCCCGAACTAGTGGATAAACATAAAATTTTTGGTCCTAAAACGCTATAAAGCTTCTTTTCTTTTTATTATTTTTGTGCAATATATAATAATGCACTGACAACGTACTCGGCAAAAAAGCCTATAAACTACCCGGGAATATCATGACCGATGATGGGTATTTTGTACGAACTGTACAGTACATAACGCCAAATAAATACTGTATGCGATATGAGACACATAATGTCGTGCAAAATACTCGGAAATTATCCGGCATTTAAGAGTAGTGAGAGTACTTTTTTAAATTATTTAAAATTATATATATCTAAATATATACAGTATTAATAACAATATCAAATAACATATAAATTAATAAATTATCTCTGAGTATTTGGCTTGAATTTTTTTTTAAAACTAAGATTTTGACTTAATTTGTGTAATTGACAATTGCAGTCACAAGTTAATTTACATCTAATGGCGATGGTTATAAATTATATTGATTAAATTAATTCGCTAACATGAATTAAAAAGTCGAGAATATTAAAAGAGCTTTGATAAATTAACTAATTAATTGTTTAAATGACTCTATAAATGGTATTAGATTATTAATTAAATTTGTCGACAGCTGCAGGTAATTGCTTATAAAATTCATATTATCTCGAATAGGCATGGGTCAAGTTTGTTTTGAGTGTTTATTTTATATATATCGATGGCCAACATCCCTTAATATTAGTGTTTGATATCCAGTCGGATCCAGAAACAATTCTGTCAATGGATATGTAACAGAAATTATTACATTAAATTTTTTTAACTGAATTTTTCGATTTAGAAGTTTCGAACCTCATGTGTGCAAGTTATAAAAATTCGGCAAAAATTCTGTACATAAAATTATGAATTCTCGTTGGTTATATAAAGTCCGTGCGTTATCATTTGAGGTCTGGTTGGTTATAATAAAACTCTCGAATATTCTTCATTTATCATTCGGATTAATGGCGGGCATTTCGGATAAAATTACCCATATGACTTTCCGCGACGATTTGTGCCACCTTTAACGCATTCCGTGTTTAGTTAGGGTGTGCAATATAATACTATGCGACTTAGTCGGGCCGAAAAAAAAGTGTCGGTCCCGTGATTGTCATAATCGGAACTTGGATCTATAAACATCAAAAATTAGCGTTAATTGATATCGATACTATTTATCAAAAATTTTCGATGTTTATAGATTCAAGTTCCGCTCATGACAATCACTTTTTTTTCGGATTTTTTAATGTCTATAAAATTTTTGGTTTTACCATAAAATCCCGAAAGCCATTTTCCCGAAAGGACATAATACCGACTAAATTGGCCAGCATTATTAACTTTATCGGGATTTTGTGGTAAAACCAAATTTTTTTTATAGTATATTTTATAAATTATTTAAATGCCGCCTTAATATTAGTCGGAGATAAATATTGAATTACTGATCTGGTTAATTAAATTACTGGGATAAATTTTTGATCTGAGTTAAATATTAATTATTCGAATTTTAATTATATTCATAATAATCGTATATACAGTATATTTATTTCAAAGGTACATTTTTTGAGAAAATGATATTAATTATAGAGTTTTATAATGACCCTAACTATATATTTTGTATTATAGCACTGCACACCCTAGTGTTTAGTACATACATACATACGTAGAGTGTTCAGCTATTTCTAGTATCTAAAACACTGTAACAATAGCGATATCACGAAAACAGCCAAATTAAATTCGATAAAATTTGTCTTATTTTTAGGGATGTTATGTTGCGGTTTTAGACCAACGGACCAAAGTTAGTCCTAAGACCAGTCTGGTCTGCTCCAAGTTTTAAGACCGGTCTAGTCTAGACAAGTCTGGACTAACAAAATCTTAAAACTGGAGACCATAATAGACCAGGCCAGGACTGGACCAAAATAGACCTGACAGGGCTGGACCATAATAGACCAGGCCAGGACTGGACCAAAATAGACCTGACAGGGCTGGACCAAAATAGACCAGTACAGGGCTGGACCAAAATAGATCAGATCGGACTGTTAGCATCACTACTTATTTTTATTGGATGCTAGTGATTCTGCTCAAAAAAAGCCGAATAAGCAGAATTATCATTATTAATTAGTTATATAACGATAATAATTTCTAATAACAATAGACAATCTTCTTATTGTAATTGGTTAAGCAAATTATGCAGAAATAGCAGGTAATTACGGTTAAAAAAACAGATTTCTGAATACTCTAATTCTGCTACGTACGTATTTACGTGAGATAATCGCGATCCAAATGTACGTTATGAAAGTCACGAAGTTTGCAATTATTACTAATAATATAATGTAATTGCTATGCAGAGCTCAATCATGCACATAGCTCATAATGCAATTTATCCATTTTTATTACAACCTGATTCTGAATGCAGAAATCATCGGAGCAACGTAAAGTTGGTCTTTGATTTTAGCCAATCGAAATCAAACAAAAACTTGACTCATACTATCAAATAGGAAAAAAATAGAGTCTAAAATAAATATCACTATAACTTGCCGCCCAAAGTATCGCCAAATCTCAATCTCAAATTCCAAATCTCAAATAGATTAAAACAATCTGGAACTTTTGTTTTTAAAAATCTCAAATCCAAAACTCTTAAAGGTAGAAATCATTTTATTAGTGCGCCAATTATCAGTATACAAAATTTAGAAGTGGACTTCTATATTTGGGATTGGGATTTAGGATTTGGAACTTAGTTATTTGAATTGGGCAAGTATAAATAACACAGATCTGAATGTCTGGGATCCATATTATCATAAGACAAAATTTTCAATCAGGTGTTTAAATGTCTTTTGCGCATTCTTTCTTTGTAATCCAGTAGATAAATAGGTATCATTATGGGCGGATAAGTAAATGGTTAGGTCTTTATGAGTGGTAGATGGCTGTGTCTTTACAGGCAGGTGGGTGTGTCTCTACAAAAAGATAGATAGTTGGATATCTACGATCAGATATATATGGGGGGGGGGTCAATAGAAAAGGGACAAATTTTTTCTAAGTAAAAGTTTTCTTGACTTTAAGCTTAAATATCTTAGCAATTATCTT